ACAAAAGTGGTTTGCCGTTGCTCTCTTTCCAGAACTGAGAAAAAGTGACTGGTCCAAGGTCACCTAGTTGGCTTTATGCCTAAAGAGGACTAGAACTCACAATCTCCCGGTTTCTAACCTGATGCCTTAACCACTGCACCAAATTGGCACTCAGGCTTATATTATGAAGTCCTAACACAACCACTCCAGTCTAGTTACAATTTCCTGGGAACGGAATTTCCAATACTTAGAGGGGGCAACAGATGAGAGAAACCATCTGACCCACTGAGTAAGCAATGCCTTCCCTCCTTTTGTTTTCAACTCAGGTACTGTATAAAAAACTGATGCAGTCATGCTTTCAGCTCCTGTATATAGTCCATTTATCAGAGTAAGCAGTTCATTAGTCCCAATTTGGAAGACAGAAGCTAGATGTACTTTTTAAAAAACAAATGTGGCAACCTGGTTCCAACCTGCTTCTACATTTGGGAGAGAAGAGAAGGTGCAACATGTCAAAATATGAAAGCCCAAAAACACCTACCACCATTTTTTTCCTTTAGATTATAATTTATCTTTCTTGGCTTTTGTTTGTCTCTCTTTCTCTGCTTTTTGTCCTGTATTAAAAATAAATTCAAGCCAACATTGATAGCAGTGAAATTACTGCCCATGATGGAACAGGGTATGATTCAGTAATTGAAATCCAATACAGAGCAAAAGCCAGCCATTTTAGTCTGGCATAGTATTGCAACATATCATATTCAATAACTGTGGCCAGCCAAGAAGGATTTCTATCTCTTCTCTTATCAAGGAAAAATTACTTTCAATATAGTATAATGCTGTCCTTCTTAAAGGCAAGCTAGCCTACATCCAAGTTTTATATTCCAGCTGGAAGAAATTTACTATAAGTTAGAATATTTTGAATGGATCCAAAACTTTCCCAATTTTGATTTAGCTGGTGTTTTTCTTTTTTTATAGGTGAGGAAGCTATGTGCTATTTCAATATGAGAAAACTACACATGAAGAGTCAAAGACATCCTGGTTGCATAATGTAACACTTGTAGAATTAAGAGAGATAGCTACAGGGCTTGCATCCATCTTCTTTCATAATTCCACATGTTGCCATACTATGTATAGACACCCATCATATTTTATAAAAGGACTTCTACCACCTTTGTGATATGAAATACATGCCTACACTGACCAGAAGTCTTTTAAAGAGACAACACTCCTGATTTTCAATCATTCATTTGCCAATAAAGAGGTGAAATGATTGAAAGCACAGGTTTTCTTCCTATTGATCTCAAGGAAATTTTAGAAAACCATAATCTGGCACTGAAGACAGAACTGAATGGAAACAAGTGCTTCTTTCGTAATTCACACTTTCACTATCTGGCATTTGAACTAGCTGGAGAAAACACACAGTAACAGCAACCAACATGAACATGATAGTTCTAGTTCGCACTAAGGCTGTAATGATAACCCACAATTAGAGAACATTCACATTTCTGCAAATACTGTATAGTGCAAGGTATTTTGAGAAAGCAGTTTGCAAACACTACGCTTCATATTGTTCTATTTGGCTCTAGCGACCTCTAGTGTCTGGTTGCAAATTCTTTCTCCTTAAATTACGGTACTGCAATCTTCTCCTGGCTCTCATACTATAAAGTGAGAATTATAATTTTTATAACATAAATATATATAAATGTATTAGAAAGGCTATTTGTGAACCATCTTTGATTGATTGCTTGATTGTCCAGTTGACTTCTAATTGTTACTTATTGCCAAAATTAGGTTAAGATACACAACTTGTCTAAAATTAGCTACACAAAGCTGGATTCACAGAAATGGCAAAAGAATTTTAAACAATATATGGGAAGTATTTGACTTGAACCTGCACTGCCCCTTTGTGAAGATCTGTACTAAATTATATTATCCTTTGAGAACATTATTTCCAAGGAATCATGAAATTTCAGTAAGAAAAGTGGAGGATAGGTTCTATTCTACACATCACTTTTTCATTGAATATATTCTGATGTTTTAAAAATATTGTTATCCATAAGTGCGTCTTAGCCCAGTGCTTTTCAAATTATCTGTGGTGAAGGACCTTTTTTTAATTTTAACCATAGTTTTGTGAAATCCTTTAAAAATTGGATTATTAAAAAAGGGTTTGGATGGTGAATTTTAATCATAAGTGTGGGAATCTTGGCATTTGGACGTATCTTCAATTTTTTCTGAAAGAACCACCTTCATCTTAATCAACAGTGGAAACAGGATCGCTGTGAACAGGTGGACATTCCTCCATATATTCTTTTTGGGGTAGTTTTGTGAGCCTCTCCCCAAAGAATATTGTGTAGTACACATATTGTCAATGAAACTGCTAATACAAGAAACAGCTATATAGAGTGAGATCACCTCAACTATTTCCTGACACGTTTTTTTCCACAACTGTGTATGTAGATTACAGCGCTATGCACATTTGAGCATAAGAACTATTGAGTGTGTATCAGTTATGAATAAATATATAAAATGCTTAATTCACACAATTGCTCTTTGTTGCCATAGACAATTTAGTATGTACTCAAAAGGGAGTTACGGAAGTCTGCAGATCAACTTCCACAAGCAATGAAAGCTCTCAAGAGATTGGTTTTTAAACTTTCTCATGTTTCTCAACCATCAATTCCCATAGCAGTGCAGTTATAGCGTGCCACTTTCCATACAACTTTAAGAAGTTTCTCCTGAACATCTCTTGCAGGCAAAAATCACTTTTTCATTGCCTTTTTTTACTCATTCCAAGCAATGAGCACCTTACCAAAGCCTTTAATTATAATTCACCCCCCCAAAAAAATGTTTCTATTGGCCACCTGAATGAACAGGAAAGGCAGTTTTTAATCATAGAGCTAGCTACGTTATAAGGTGCACGTGTCGTAATTGCATGGATGCAGAAAGTGATAGTACTGAAGCTTTATCATTGGGAGAAAAAAATACACTTCCACACATTTTCTTTCACTGAAATCCTTGACAGGATCAGAAAAAATAAAACATCAGTTTCATTTGCTCAACTTTATTCAACCAAAATTCAATGTGCTAGAAAGTACATATAATTTCCTATTGACAGGCTAACATGTTTTATGAAATCTTGAAGCTGAAAGAAAGGCAAGTGGGGAAAATAGAATTGCACCAGCAACCAGTTCCTCCCACAGCAGTAATCAGGTATAAAGAGTCATCAAATCAATGTCATGTGCCAATGTGATTGAAGGGGACAACCCATTAAGCTAATTACAACTGCAATCTTGTGCAGGTCTATTTTGAATTAACTCCCATTGTTTAAAACAGTGGTTCTCAATCTGTGGGTCGGGACCCCATTTGGGGTCGAACGACCATTTCACAGGGGTCGCCAAACAACGCAGTCCGCCATTTTTTTCCCCTTTTCCTTAGCTGTGCTACTCCCTTTTATTCTATTGGCTTTTGAAAGCCAATAGAATAGATTCTCTTGAATAGAGTCTAATTCTATTGGCTTTCAAAAGCCAATAGGAATTGTCCAGGCTGCCTCTGCCCTGCTGAGCCCGCCAAAAGTCCCATTCTGCAAACGATGCTGCACCAGTTGAATAGTCTTCGACTTACGACTGATTTAGTAGTCCTCAACTTACGACTAGTTGGGGTCGCGGCATTAAAAAGGTTGAGAACCACTGGTTTAAAATGAAACTTGCTTCTGAGTAAACATGCAGAGGATTGGGCTGTAAATAGCATAGAATCACAGCTACATTGTATCTCAGTCTAGTTTATTCTTTTTTAAAAAAAAGCTTTGCCTTTATAATCTTAAACTGTTAAACTGTATCTTAAACATTATATTTATAAATTAAACCTGTTAGCATTTATTTCTACCATACAGAAAAATAATTTAGGCTATTGGAAAGAGTGTTTTGGATTCTTATCTTATGTACTTATCACATATTAAGCATATTCAGATGTCATCCTTAACCAAACCATTATAAGCACCAGCAGCATCTTATAGGCTGGGCTCCCTCCTGATTTTGCATGGCAACATCATCTATCCATAATCCAGGATTAAACTCTAATTTGGAGTGATAATTTAGGAACAAACTATGGAATCCAGTTGGAAACTGGATTGCAAAAGACAATCTCTGAATGCCTAAAATTCAACCAAAAAGTAATCATTTAGTGTTTTCAGAAACAAATATTGTGCAAGAGCTACTGGTGACCTGCCTTTATATTACACCAATCTGTTAATTTGAGTTATGCTCCAAATGTGAATTCTTTTAAAAGGTTTTTTTTAATTATTTTTCAGTGCCTTTAAGTCTTGATTCCTACCCATAAATAGGAAACAAGCTCATTAAAGTAGTGGACACGTGCATTCATTTCATTGAAAAGGTAAATAATATAATATCCCAAGTCTTCAGTATATATAGTGCAAAAAAAATAATAATTCCCTTTTCACTGCTTAATTATGCAGTGTTATTCAGGGTGTACTGAATATCTATATAACAGAATCTGGTTAAGCTAGTTACATACAAATGCAATTCAGTTAACCTGTCTGAGATTTATCTAAGCCAGGGGTGTCAAACTCGTAGCATCACGTGACGTGTCGTGACGTATTGTGACTTTTTTGACATTGCCGGCAATGGGGTGGGCGCAGTTTTGCTATGATGCATCCGGCCCACGGGCTGGCAGTTTGACACCCCTGATCTAAGCCAATTTATACCCAAATTCAAATAAAACTAGCAGCTAATTTGTAATACTACGCCAGAGAAACTAGCTCCATTTGCAGATGCCACATAAATACAGCACTTGCTTCTGAATTCATTTTAAATACAGTAGTACTTTGTGCTTTAACATCTAGATATAAGCTGGTCCAATGAGCTCACTGCTTGCAAACCTCTAAATTGCTGAATGTTCTTAAGTTTGAAACATCAGTGGAATTGGGCTGTTCATTAATCTCTGGTTAAAAAAAAAAAAAAATCCAGGCAGCAACTAGATGGCAACAGAGACACACACAGAAAACTCTGGATTTTTGCACCCCGTTTATGTATCACCTAATGAAACTAGAACAGCAACCAAAATGGAAAAACTAAAGAGGTAATAGTGTGTCCATGCTAATTAAGTTGGCATATACAGATTTCCTTTAAAGTACTGGGGGGGGGGAATTATATGGCAGGAGCTTCCAAAAAGGAAAATTTGCAGGAGCATATATTGAGCACAGATGTAAAAACAGTCTTTTGCATTTGCTTTTAAGTTTTTCATCTATGACCCAAGTTTTATGGAAGATCATTTCACAATCAAATGAGTCAGTTTTTGGACAGGAGATCGTAAAACAGCTTCAGTCGGTAATATTTGAACAAGATTAGCTCTCTCAAAGCCCTCTTGGAAAGAAACTTTACTTCTAAATTTGTCTCTAGCATTTAGCTGCAGAGCACATTGTTACTAGAGAACCAAAGAGAAAAATAAAGCAATCCTGACATACAAGATGAAGCCAACAAATTATGTCCATTTTTTAAAAAAAGCCAATAAACAAGCAGGCATAGCTATGTGCCTTGGTTCAAAATCTTACTAATACAGAGGTAACAGTCCACTGTTAATTAACATTGAGGAGGATTGTGTCCTTTCCATAAGCCATCATAAATAAATGGCTAATGAGAAATGGGCCCATGGTGTAAGGATTAGACACTAATCATAATTGCCACCAACATCAAAAGAGATCCAAGAACTCATTAAGAATTATCTTACAAAAATAATTACATTTAAATTTGCCAGCTCTAAAGCTGTATTTTCAAGCCCTATAAAAAGGCAATCTTTGAAAAGCTGCGGCTCAGAATTGGCATGGTGCAAATGAAAGTTATTTCAAAAGCGCTTTGAAAGGGCAATTGCAGCTGGTTGTTGTGTCACAATTATTAATATTGCATAGCTGAGAAATGAGGTCACTTGACTTGCATTAACCCTGCAAGTTTACCCACAGAAGAGTGACACATACCATTTGCTAGTGATAAGTGGCTCTTAGTTGAAACCAATGCCATTTATGAACAGCCAACATACGAGTTTCTAATTCCTCCCCACCACCACCACCAGCAGTTTGTCACATGCAAACATGGGGCCCCTTTATAGACAGCAAAAAACATTGCCTATCAGTGGTGGAATGTAGCATGCATATAGCTTTGATAAGAAATTGGATTTTAATGCATATACATTTGTAGAAATACTTGCATCATCAAAGGAGATAAATATGGCCTCTTACTACTGCACAAATGCCTCAATTAGCATCATAGAGCAAAAACAGAAAAAAAAATCTCATTGTTATTTGAAAAACCTGACTGGTTTACATACTGTGGTCTTCACGTGCAGATTCTTGGAAGCATTTTCCACCTGTTGAGTGATTCACATGTGCTACAGGCAGGATTAACAGAAACATACCCAGATGTTTGCCCAGTGGGGACGGCCGGATTTGTACTCAGACAACATCCTGGAGATTTTTGAGCAAAAATTATGATGTCCAGTAGATTTTCTAGGGAGGTTTGTGTGGGCAGTGAGGGGAAAATATGAAGTTTAAATCCTGTTCCATGTCTATTTGTTTACAAAGCATTGAGTGTAATTTACTACCATCACATGCAAAGTCCTAGTTCACATTTAATTTTCAGGCAGGATATAACTTATTTGCTTTCAGTTAACCTATGTCAATTCAACTGATTATTGCTCAGCAATAAACATCCAGGCCTGGCTAAGCCCTATCAAAATCTCCACAGTATTCCCAAATCTTCCTCAGAAAGACTAGAGATTGGCCACAGGAAGTCCATATTCAATGACTCTGGATGGAACTCCTATGTGGAGAAAAGGAAGCTGTATTTCATTAACCCTCAAACTCTGTATAGAAAATGCAATTGATGCAATGTATTTGTTCCCAGCTTCGGAAAAACAATTCCTTAGTGACAGGCTACCTTAGTAAAAAGGAAGAAAACTCAAATGAAGAAAATGCTATATATTCTACCTTAAAGTATGTGTTAAACAGACAATAATCAGTTTACTGTTCAAAGAGTTTTAAACAGCAGCAAGGGTTCCATGTGCATTCTTGCCCTTTGATACTATACCCTTTCTTCCAATATACAAAAAGTAACTCTAAGATGTAGAGAGTTTTTTAAAAGAAATTGTAAAAAAAATAATCCAATCTTGTCTTTAGAAACACCTACTGAAAATTATGTTCAATTGCATTTTCTGCTTAATGTTTCACAGTTGTTTTAAGTGACAAAAAACTGAAAGACAAATGAGTTAAATGCTTTTCTTAAATCAAAATAAAACAGAAAATGTATTCAAGAAAAAGATAGTGGAAAATAGGGAAATAGTGCTTCAGGGAATATTAGCTGAATGAAAAATTGGAAGTCAATACCTAATATATTTTTAGTAACCGAATCATTTTCCACGTGATGATAATTTTGATTTTTTTAAAAAAAAATAACTAGAATGGGATCGGATACAGATCAAGTTGTATAGCTGGATATTTTCCCTATTCTGAGAAGTTACTTACCTTTCCTTTTTAGAATAAATTAATTCCAAATAACTTTTTTTTACACATAGAACAGTAAAAGTATGGATAACATTTAGAAGGATAGCTCTAGCTGGAAGAATTAAATGATGAAGTGGAAGACACATAAAAGTTCTAAATATCTTGGGCAACTGATGATGTATGGTCAAATGCATGAGAAGTATATGCAGGAATCCAGTTCCTTCTAATCAAAGCTTAGCTGGGATTTCCTAGATGATTGTTCCAGTCTTCTTGATATCCCATTTGGTCTTCTGAAGATGCATTTCCACAGAAAACCTCGCCCCAAATTCCCTCTGCCCTTGTACTTGGTAGTACCTTATCATCCTGGCACATTACTGCTTCTGTTCCTGAAGTGGCTTATGGTCCCACCTAAAATCCCAAATCATCATAAAAGTTGCAAAGTTCTCTGGAATTTGGTGGCATATTTCCATCATTCTACACTGTTGAAGATGAAGCAATATCACAGTACCAAAAACAGACTGCAGGTCCAGCTTGCTTTTTCTGATTGGTTTTTCAATTGTTGACAACAAATATATTACATTCCCCCATCATTCCATTAAAAAGTCAACTTTGAAGAAAAATGTCTGTTCAAAAAGCAGTAGGTCTCTCTCAACATTTCAGTGGTATCTCTGGTGTTTGGGCATTTGAACTTCAGAGAAACATACTATTTGGCTCATCAAGCCAATTTGATGAATTTGGGTTTTTCCTCAAGAGAAAAATCATACAGCGGATACTTCCAGCACCCAAAATTATACATTTACAGTAGTTAAGTAGGATATGTACACAGATTGGACACAATACAGCAAATAAACTTCGGGCCTGCTTCCCAGGGAGTTTTTATGGGTATTTTGAAATTTCTAGTTTCTGTGGATGTAATTAAGTACTTATAACCAAGTAAAAAATTATATCTAATACTCAATTCACTGTCAGTAGTAAAGAATTCTTTAAAAAAGTTTCTCCCAGTCACAAGCTGTAGAGAAACATATCCTCTTTCTTGAGAAATTCACTTCTCAATCCTGGCTGTACATAAAACAGCTCACACAAGAACAGAACAGAACACCCACAAAATAAGCAACACCTTATTTCTGGAATTTGTTCCCAGCAGTGGCATGTTGAACAGAAAGGGATGCTCTTAGTATATATGCTTGTCAGGCTAGAAGTGTTAGTATGGCAATTAAAAATCCCCCGTTTCTTCTAAAACACCTCAGGCTAGATGGACATCATTTCTTGCGTTGCAGTCACACAAATAGGTGTCACAATGGTTTATGGATCACAGCTACACCTGCAAGAGAGATAGTAAATGTGTATTCAATGCATTCTATTCAAGCTGATTAGAGACTAATTTTCACTTCAAGAAACGTTCAAGATCTCGAGTCTTCAACTAGTGAGTCTTTCATAAATGAAGTCTCCTTTGCTTATCATTGTTGCAGAAAGATAGATTCCAAACAGACGTATTATTCTGCCACATGTATACCATTGATTATTGACTGAAAGCATAATATTGTACTGTCCTGAAGCAATTAACAAAAATTGTCACCATTTTTAAATTAATCACTGAGTAATTGCTAGAAATTGCTAACTCGCTTCCTTCAAGAAATAGATTGTTTGGTTATAAAATGATAAATGAAAAACGATGAAAACAATCATATAGGTAGTCCTAGACATTTGTTCGGTGATCTGTCAAAATTACGGCAGTGCTAACAAACCAGTCCCTGAAATTATGGCTGTTGCAGTGATCAAAATTCAGGTGTTTGGAAGCTCACCCACACTAATCCTATCCCTAATACTAACCCTTCACGAATTTGTATTCTTCAACTCCCTCTATCCACCTCTCTCCCGCCATCTATGCCCTTTTGGCTGCTTGCACTTCGCAGGACCTGTTGCCTTAGTCAACCTTCACCATCTTCTTGCTCGGCCTGGCCTTTCATGAGGCAGCTGCTGGCCACAGGAGGCTTTTTTCTCCAGATCATGCATGGCATTTTCCTTATGAAACCTGGGAAAGATGGCCTCATATGGCCAGAGTTGCCTGTGAAAGACCAGGCCAGGCATGCAGCAGCAGGAATAAAAAGACTCTGAAAGTTAGCTGGGGTGGCAGACTGTAGGGCAGCAGGGGCCTCCGAGTGCAGGATAACAATGTTGACTGCAGCTGGGCTGTGGCAGCTGTGGCATCCCTGGGCCGGGTGCAGTTTTGCACTGGGCAGAACTAGCCTTTTCATTGCAGCTCAGGGGCTTCTGGCAGCCCCACAGCTATGGTGCACCATGAATCCCCTTTGGGCTATGCTGCTGGGTTGGGGCAGCCAAGGTCCCTGGCCAACTCTATTATACTTTTACTGCTAAGAAAAAATACACTGTGTTTTAAATAAGAATTTGCATTTTAATAAAAATAGAAAAATATGATCTTTTGGGGTCATGGAGAAGTTCTAATTCATTGTAAAGACTTGAAAAACATCTCCACCATATGTTAGTGACAGACCTGAATGGTAAATTATTCTAGATACACTTTTCACTGTGTCTAAAGACATTAAGCAGGTGAGATGTTTTAAAAATTGTGGGAGATATTTTTCAAGCCTCTATAATGAATTACACCTTCTCCATGACACCCAAAAGCATCCCAGCAATTTTAGTGGATGCAGGGAGAGAATTTTATTCCAGCTGCCATCAAATTATTATTCATTCCAATTGCTGTCATGTAATTACTGCATGGGGTACAATTAGAGCTTTATTTAACTTCATCCCCCTTGAAAAACTACAGTCTTTTTTAAGATCTCTTTTTTAGGCCTTTATTCTAACATCATTCCCTTTGAAAAAGGGCAGTCTTTTTCTGATGTCTTTTATTTTACTCCTAGATGTGTCGCTAATACATTCTGACACAGAAACTGAACTGTTGAAAGTCAAAGATATAGTTTGGCTTGTCATTTTATTTAGTAGATTTCAACTGGGCTCTTCTTAATTAATATTACTGGATAATTATAGGTCAGATGGTATAGGCCTCTTCCATAAGGATTGCCATTAGGACTTGAAAAGTTAACAGATCACTTATTTATCCCAAGTTTCTTACGCATTTTCCAAAGCCTGTCTTAATGGTCTCTCCCTTCTATCTATTTTGAGAGAGAGAGAATCTTCAAGATTTCCCATAAGAACCAGATGAGACTGTGAAAGAACTAATATATTGTAAATTTATTCTGACTCTTACTAAAGGCTACTTCAATCTTTATTAAAACACTAGGCAACCCATTCCCTGTTGGGCCATTGTTTCAGAGATATTTCCTTACTTAAACAGAGAAACAGAATGACCATGGGTAGGCAAAAACGCAGCAGGAACAAGAACCAATTCCAACTTCCTGCCAACTTCCCATTCCCTGTGGGAAGCTGACAGCGTACATCATAAATCTCCCTCTCTCCCTCCCTCCAATTCCTGCCAACCTCACATTTATTTTACTTGTGGGAAGCTTGCAGGAAGAAAGCCTATGAGGTGGTCAGCAGGAAGTTGCAACTCCCAAGGCCAGCAAGCAGGAAAGTGGCTATTGCTCAATGAGGGAGGGAGAGAGTATGTGGGGTGCATTCAAGAAAGACATGGTATGTGGAGGTGCACAAGAGATGTCATGTGAGTTGGGAAAGATGTATGGGTGTACCCAAGAGGTGCTCCATATGTCAGGGAAGGCATATAGGACAGCCTTGGGGGGGAGAGTTTGTGGGGATACACAAGAGGTACCACATGGGTCTGGGGAGGTACATGGGGTCAGGGATAGTGTGTGAGGATGGCATGGATCAGGGCTGGCACAGGTTGGAGAAGTGCACAAGAAGGTGGCATGGGCTGGGAAGTGTGTGCAGGGGTTCCTTCCTCCCTGTTGCTCCCTCCTTCCTTTTCTAGTGGATTGGTAAATGCCTGCTGCTGTTTGGGGGAGGAAAGGGGGATTGAGGGACTGGCTGGGAAACTGCCACTTAATGTTGAAAATGAAGATCACATTACTGCAGCAGCCAGTAGAACTGAAGGAGCCACTACTTTCCCATATTTCATTCCCTTAAGAGTCATGAGTCCCAGATTTTAGAGGCTGTAAATTAGCCTATCTGAAATACCTTGGTTCAAAAATTGGTGCCCTATGCGGTATCATTCTGCTCAGTTAAAGGTTGTGAGTGCCACTGAAAGTTTAAGCATATAAATTATAAGGCTACCCAGAACAATTTAATATTCAATATACCTGAAGTGGAGATTATATAATTATGTATATGCCAATGGCACAATGCTAAATTGCCAATGGGTAAATCTAATGAAAACACAAACACTTAGCGAAGATCTGGGATTCTATCCAATTCAGTCAAGAAAATGATCAGCAGTCATCAACAAGAGCCATAGCAGGAAGTTAAACAACATATAATCAATTTGTCTGTCATTCTATGCCAGTCTAAACCAATGCACTGCTTACCTGCATAACTTCTTCCAGTGCTCATGTTGCTTGGTAATAGTGTCCATTTGTCAGTGACAGGATTATAATATTCTACAGAGGCCAAATTGCAAGAGCCATCATCTCCCCCAACCACATAAAGAAGTCCATTCACTGCACACACACCTACAGAGAGAACAAAAACAATATGGCAGAAGTCCTAATTTTTATAGCTGCTGTCATGGCAAGACAGAAGGGCAAATTTAATATTGATTTTTATTACTAACACCTTTTATCCCACAATTTACTGAACTCACACACACTCTGTCAGTCATACTAGTGGTTTCTGCTTGCACTTTTTTTTCTAATCATTAAGAAAATATTATTTGTGAAAAACCAACCAACCCGAGGGCATAACAAATGATGACAACTAATAGTTGTGTTTATAATCCATAATAAAAATGAAAATGAAAAATAATAAAAATGAAAAATGGATCTAAAAATTATTGTTAGCTATGAGACCTCAATAACAATTATAATTATTCATAAGTGGAACACTGAAATAAAATAACAAACTATTAACAAAAGCCTTTATATTTTTTTCACTCTTCTAACTAAACTGTCCAGAGTTAGTAAGAATAGGTTTGAAACAGTCTTGAAATTGAATTAAATAAACACAGAATGAAGCCCCACATATTACTCATTTGTTAATCATGGCATCTATGATGGCATTCTGCAATAAGTATGAATTGAACTATATACCCCTTAAGTTTAACATTTAATTAATTAAAAATAAACAAGTACACCCTATTTAAAATGCTTGTTCTGAGGCCCAGCAAATGATGAGCTTCACAGGACAAACAGTGTCAAATTTCAGATATCTAGAAATCCTTTAAAATAAATTTACTAATTCTTATAGCTTTATCCCTTCTCTTACCAAGCTCTGTACATGTGCTTGTAAATTACATTTTACTGTAAATTCCATAGTTCTATCACTATTTAAATTGTACTTCTTGCAGACTATCCTAACGTTTTTAAGTGTGATTTTAACATATTTTAATATTCTCTCTGTCTTTTTATTTTAACATATTTCTTTACAAATCCAAGATATAGAAACCTGTAATTAAAAAATGTATTAAATGTCCTGCAAATCAGGTCTCTTGTTGGATTCCTAACCCTTTGGTTGCCCACTAAGTTACAGATGCATAGAAGACTCCCTTATTTGACACTGCTTTTACAAATATTTTCAAATCTGCTGGACTTAATGTAGACTTAATCAAACATTAATTTAAAATAAGACATTATGACCTTTTTATTGCTAAAGTCGTTAAAAATGCTATACAGCTTTAAAGACGCACATATTTATTATTGCATATCCTTGGTATTAATATTACCCTTAATTGCTTTGTTTATACCTGAATAGTGATCTAGAAATTTGGGAGGGAAATACCTGCATTTCTTCTACACATATTCATATCTGCTACTTGTTTCCATGTATTTGTTCCAGGATCATATACTTCCACGCTTTTCCTCACCAAAGGACCATCATGCCCTCCAGTGGCAAACAGCTGGCCGCTAAGAACACCAACTCCTAAAAAGCCAAACAAGGAGCTTAAGGTCTATTGTAAATCAACTTCCTGTCAGGGATAATAAATTGCCATGCCAAGAACATAGCCCCGACAGAGCACTAAACAGTACAGTATCGATTGGAGTAGCTATTACATAAAATTAAGAGTTTGTAAGAGACAGAAACAATAACCATGAGGAACAGGACGAAGAGCCACAATCAAAACAATGGTCAGATAAAAAAAATCTGAGTGCACAGCAAACATGTAATCTGAGAAAGCGTCTGACTTAACGCTCTCTAGTTCTCATAAAGATAAAGGGAGGGGGGAGCACATACAGGCTTGCAGGATTCTATAATTGTATCCTTATAATAAAAATAATCTTAGCATTCATAACTTTGGATTTCTAGTCTAATCCATCTTGAAAGGATGACAAAATTGGCCTGGAATGGGGAGGAAAATTGAGACTACCTAGCACCCTTTTCCAGCCTCCGGGAATTGACATTTCTAGGCTCTTTTTTCTTTTATTTCTTTCTTTGGGGGCCATTTTAGGCATTTGAAAGGATGAGGTAGCAGCTTTAATCCTTGTCGAAACCATCTCAAAAGTGGGCCAAAGTTTCCAATCTGGGAGGAACTAAGAGGCAAAACAGCATGACAACCTGTCTTTTTTTTAACTATTTTTAACTGTTAAGAGATGTTGTAGCCAGTAACTGCTGTGCTTCTCAGTGGCCAACAAGAGGTTTTCCCTTAGTAATTCATTTCATTATGTATACCATGGAAAGTGAAGATAACATAAAAAAAAATAAACTCTCTGGAAGCAGCCTTAGCCATGTTCATGACATCTGTAAGGGCATTTGTGAAAAGGAATTGCTGTAGCTGTAAATATTCCAATTCTAATGTCAATATTTCAGTCTTGGCTGCTACCGGAACCTAATACTGTCTAGACCAAACATGTCAAACTTGGTGACGTCGTATTGGAGCCTTTTCTACATTGCTGGCAATGGGGTGGGCGCAGTTTCCTGATGAAGCATCCGGCCCACAGGCCGGCAGTTTGACACCCCTGGTCTAGACTGAATTGTCAATCTGAAGTAGACTTCAGGTTAATCAATAATCATGACAGAAGTTTATAGAACTATATCCACTGAACATCCCAACTTGTTAGTCAATACTTTTCTTTAGATGGTCCATATTTATCTACTCCAGCCCGTTATGAGGCTATCTGCTTTGACCTGAATGCCTATCAATCTGATCATAAGGAGGCTGACATAAAGAACTGAGAAAAAAAAATGTAAAAAGAAATATTGGTATACTTTAAATAAATAAATGATGATGATTTGGGATAGAATACCTGCACCACTGCGCCGAGTACTCATATCAGAAACATAAGACCATTCATTTGTAGCTGGATTATACTGCTCCACAGTACTAAGGCACTGACGTGATGCTCCGTCGTATCCACCAACAGCGTACAGTTTACCTAGAATTTCAGCATCAGCCATCAACAGGATCAATTAAAGAAAAATATATGGTGAATATTTAATAACCAGTTTTAATCACTGCTCATCTGATTATCACATAGTGGACATAAATTTGTTGAAGATCTACAAATCTGGTGGCAGTAGATATAACAGACTTCTATTAAGCATTTCCAATGAAACATCAAAGCAACGAGAAACTCTTACAAAGCTCTAGCTACAAGCAGCAATCATTTCAGATATTTTTGTTATTATAAAATGGAGAATGGAAGTGTATTAATTACTGACACTTTAAAATTGGCCGAAACTCAAGGACCTGTTTTAAGCTTCCCTCAGTGCTGTTGTAACTTTAAATAGTTGTTGAATGAATGGTTTTCAATTGAGAACTACCTACATGAAATGTATTAACCAGTTCAGAAACTCTTTCCTTCACTAATTTATTGATTTCTATCCAGAACAGGGAATAAAAAATATATATGCCACTCTTAATAATAAGAAAATATGGGAACATGGAAAATGTGACCAACTAAGCTTTCAGACACAGTTGTACTTATAGAACAGGCAGAGATGTATTTACAGAAAAAACATCTAGCATCATCTGACTTGTTTAATTGTTGGATGTGTTTTTGTGATATTGACAGTTGCAATGTTGCATGGCTGTAAATAAAATATGAGTGACTTCAAAACAGAGAATCCTTACCCTCTACAACTCCAACTCCAACACTGCTTCTTCTTGTGTTCATAGGCGCCACAAAAAACCATTCATTGATCTTGTAATTATAAGCCTCCACAGATGCTAGACCTAGTTTGAAAACATGAAAAGGGGAAACATATAGCACAGGGTTTTCCTATCACAGAATTCATCTCATAATGATCATTTCCCTTCCAGGCAAACAAAGGGAAGGAAAGAAGCCAGAGCTCCTTTGCTAACCAGGAAGCTTCTTTTCCAAGCATTAACACTACCCTTGCCTACTGCAATCATCATGAGTTTGCAATGAGAAGCCACCCCGAGAACAACATCCCAGTTCTTGTTATTGATCTATGCTTAATGGGGCATTCTAAAACCATCTCCTAACAGGGAAGGGAAGTTCAATGAGAGGTTTTGTAGAATCTGATTAACTACATTATGATGGCAATTTGAAGCAATGCATTTTCTTAAGTAAACATTTAGTTTTTCTTCCTGTGGGCATGCCAAAATTAACCATCCTTAAAAATTAGGCTTCAGTTCCATCCATTTTCCTGAGAGATCATTATTAAAATAAATGGGGGCATAACACAAGTAGCTGTAGAATGCCAAAGTTTGTATTTATGAACAGAGGAACTTTCTCCAGAAGAAAGTCTTAGGAATAAAGAGTTGAATATTCTTCCATTGGGCTGTCTTTTGTGAATTAGCTTACCAGTACTTCCATCAAATCCGCCAACAGCGTACAGGAGCTCATTGAGCACAGCAGCTCCTAAAGTGCTTCGTCTTTCTTGCATGCTAGCTATAGATGTCCAATGATCTTTCACTGCATCATACACATCAACCGTCCGAACACGCAAAGAGCCATTGAAACCTCCCACCGCATAGACTTTGCCTGTCATGAATACCACCCCTGTTAAAAATAAATTAAAAGAGAGCAAAACTTTAAGCAAATTGTCATTTGCCTACCACAAAACTCCTATTCCAACTTCTTACATTCAGGAAGGTGCATAAGGATCATTAAAAATAATAATAACAACATTGATGGTGTTTGTTCATCTAACTGCTTCTGATTGCATGATTCACCATGTTAACCTGTGTGTTATCAATTTCTGGCAGCTTTTATCAATGACATGATCTATATTCAGTAGGTATAATTCACCAGTCAACAGATACCTTTGATAACAACCCATATGATTTCAAATATTATACAAATAAGAATCTAGACTGGACCCCAAGTACTCTCAAGAAGCATCTGTAAATTCTAATGAATTTTCCTTGAATAATGTACAAGCATCTGCAATTGCATATTTGTTGGTTATGCTCAGCAAGATTTTACCACAGTGTATTAAATAGCTTTTAGCAGCTGCTGTAATGTATTTAGAGAACTTATTGGTAGAACCTAATTCAATTCTAATTATTATTAATGTTCATTACAGTGATTCCCAAAATTGGGAGGGAGGGGGAGCAGCAGGCAAGTTTGGAAAGCATATCCTCACTAAATAGGTGATAATCCAGGACTAGTCCAGAATGCAGCAGCATGTACAATCTGGGGCTTAACAAAGGGGTATGTGGATATGACCACCCAATACCACCGCTAATGAGCTGCACTGGTCACAAGTGCAATTCAAAATGCTGGTTCTCACCTTTAATGACCTGCATGGCTCAGGGGAAGGTTACTTGCAAGGTCTCTCTTTTCCCTGGTTTCAGCCTGTCCCATCAGATCTGGCAGGGTCAGTACCCCTTCTATGAAGCAATGTCATCCAGTGGGACCCAAATGGCTTGTCTTGTCTGTCACAGCACCCATCCTATGGAACTGCCTTCCACCAAAGTCTGGACGGTCCTGAAGATCTGGCTTTCCTTCGGGCACTGAGACCAGGATGTTAGTGAAACCTGGTATGTGTTTTGCTGTGTTCTGTGCTATAAGGTTATTTTTAATTGTGTAATTATGTTAAGAAGCCCTGGTGGCACAGTGATTGCAGGCAAAGTCTACCCACAGCCTGGAGTTCGATCCTGACAGGACTCAAGGTTGACTCAGCTTCCCATCCTTCCGAGGTCGGTAAAACGAGGACCCAGATTGTTGGGGGCAATAAGCTGATTCTCTAAACTGCTTAGAGAGGGCTGTAAAGCATGTGAAGCCGTATATAAGTCTAAGTGCTATTGCTATTGCTTTGTATTGTTTCACATAATGTATAATTTATGAACTTGTTACTTGCCCAAAGTTATTTGGTTAAGGTGAGTAGTCACGTACATTCTTTGAATAAATAGATAAAGCACCACTTGTTTTATTTTTTAACAATGGTCTGGAACCTCTGAGCCTGGCTTTTCAACTTGACTTTTTGTAAAATGAAACTATTAAAGGTGGATATGATTAAGAAGCCTGGATTCCATGAGCAGCTTTTTCAGCCCGTCCTCAGAGATAACAAGGAAGCCCCCTGACTCTGGGGATGGCTGAAAGAACTCCCTACTGAAATCCAAGGATTTTCAGCCACGGACAATTTTCAGCTCCAGAACGGAGACGCTTCCCTCCACTCTAGGGCTGACTGATAAATCTCAAAAATTAAGGCACTAAATGTCAAGATAGCTCAACAGAGAGCATGAAGTCAAAAATAAAACATTTCAGTAAGTAAATGAATCTGAGTACCTCGCATGCTAATTATGGGGAAATGAACAGAGACCTTTTAAGATGTGTAAATACTAGTGGGAAGGTGTAGGTAATATGCAGATGGTTGATAAAACCAATAATTGCTATCTGTAAGAGCAAATTGTTTTGTTATAAAGAAACAATGGCTAGATGTGTCACAAACAACACAGAAGTTGAATGCACTGAGAATTGGTTATTTAAGAAGTCTGTGTGTAAAACAACATTGATTGAAGGCAGACGAAGTATAAAAGTGAGTAACCATAACAAAGTAATTAGGTTAAAGTGGTTCAGTTGCAGGAAAGAATGAATAAGCTCTGTTTCTTATTGTCTTGTGTCCAATTTCTTTCCTTACAAAATTTACTATTTTCTGTCCTTTGCATAATACTGCTTACTCAGAAAAGCAGAAAGGTGACGGATATGATACATAACTACCTATAGGTGGCAGAATATATAAATAATAGAACAAATACCGTATTTTCCGGCGTATAAGACGACTTGGCGTATAAGACGACCCCCAACTTTGGCGCCAATTTGAATGCTTTAGAAAGTCGTCTTATACGCCAGAAAATATGGTAATATTTAAGTAGTGATTGAGACCATCGTAAAGACAAAAAAACTTACCCGCTCTGCATCTCCGAGAAGGAAGTTCAGCAATCTGATCCCATCGCTCCTCCTCAAAGTCATAACACTCCACACTTCGAATGGCTTTTGGTGCCTGCCCACCCACTACAATCATTATCTTGGTGAGAAAGAAAAGGTAATTATTGTAAAAAAAAAAAAAAATCCCACAGAATCATGGCCTTTTCAATAGAAATACACATTTAGAAAACAGGATTCTTAAACTGCTTTGTCTCCCAAAATAGCTGAGTGCATTAAACGGAGTAAAAAACAATTGCTCCAGAAAAAAATATTTTATAACAGAAGCATGGGACTTTTGACATCTGCCAAATATTAAAATTAAAAGTACAGCCAGAAAGTTGCTGCTGTTATCTTTGGATTAAGGCCTCTGCGCTTTGACTTAATCAACTATATTGCTTTTTAAATGATCAGTAATTTAAAATCCAAAACACAGGTTTTTATTAGCAGCCCGGAAACATATGACAATTCTATGAATGCCTGGCCATGGAGATTAACATCTGAAGAGAGTACTTTTAACACAGAGGAATTTAGAATGTGAAAAAAAGTCAGAATGAAATCATGCTAATAAAAAGCAGTATTTCCACATTTTAAATCTATGTTTAATATTTGTTTGCATTCTTATGCAAGTCACTTGTTAAGATAGGCACTTATAGAAATCAAATAAATAAATAATAAACCTATCTAAAAAAGTTCCAAAACTCACATTTGCCCAAAAGTAAACTGTTCCTCCACAAGTTAGCTAATCTGAACCGATATTCATGATCTCCCAAGTACATGCCAACATTTAAAGTCTACAGCAGGCATGTCGAACTCACGACATCACATGACATCGCGCGACGTATCGAAGCTTTTTCCCCATTGCCAGGAAAAAGGGGTGGGCGCGGTTTTCTCATGACATGTCCAGCCCACAGGCCGGCAGTTTGACACCCCTGATCTACAGGAAGGCTATATGTAATCCTCCCCTTTGTGCTTTCTTTGCACTGTTCATATTCTATACTAGAGTAAATATATCCTAAATTCCTTAGGGTAATTTAAGACCGAATCAATACTAAATAGAAAAACATTTGAATAGGAAAAGTGTTAATTAGTGGAATACAAGGCCAACATATTTTTATGCTTGGGCTGAAATCACTGCCAGTGTTTGTGTATATACCAGAATTCTTAACTAAAAATTTACCTTTTTCAACAAGGTAGGATTGTTTACCTTTGGCAGACTGACTGGTGTCCTTGGTTTGGTTCTAGGATTTTTTATCAGCTGTCTCTGATCCAGAGGAAGTAAGTGATATTTCATGGCTTCAATGAGGAAGTCTTTACATGTATTATTATTCTTGATTAAAGCTTCTTCTTCAACTGTCTAAATGTCAAAGCAGGTTAGTGCAATGGCTGCATTTCACTGATGAACATAGGTGGTAAACATTAAAAAATATGTGCCAAGAGACGTTTGCTGGATCTGTTCTGAAAGATTTAGATGCATGAAGCTATAGGCCATTTTGCCTATTCAACATCTAGTTCATTAAGTGATTCCCATGTTTCATTCCTTCCAATACTACTTCTATTTTCAAGTTATTACTGATAGATATTCTATGCATGAAATTGTGCTACAGTCTTATTTCGTTAAGTGTTTGCCAATCTCAACAACTTTTAAGATGTGTGGACTCCACAGGCCAGGGGAATTCTAAAAATCTTAAAAGTTGTTAAGGGTGGCAAACACTGAAATGGGATACACAAGTTGTTTGGGAGATAGAAAAAAGGCATGGAGCACCGAATTGTGTACAGTAGGAAATATTTGAATTATCTTCAAAAGACTACCTAAATAAACTGTGCAAAGACTATTTACATAAATTGTAAACTGCAACCAGATAGCAGGCACAAGGGAAAGGATTTTTTTTTTTTAACAGTACTCCTATATTGGAAGTTTCTCAAACAGTACCTCTACAGGCCTTTATAAAGATATAAAAGTTTAATTTGTAATCTATAATCTTAATTTTTTTAACAACATTTGCTTGGTGTTTCAAATTTTGGGAAAAGATTAACTTGCTCCTTATTAACATTGAAATCTGTATTATCTTATTCTATATATTGCCATGGAATTTTTTTTTCTCTGAAAAGTAACTAACAGCAGCAAGAACAATAGTAACATATTGTACATTCATACATGCATAGAGGTATTTGAGTTATAGGGCACTGCACACCAAAACAATTAGACACAAGGAGTTTCCCCCCCCCATGCTGTCACTCTGCTAAACAACTACAACACTGTCAAACTACTTAGTAAAGCTGTATTATTATTCTCCTCCTTATCTTTCCTATTACCTATCCTTATCTTCTTATGAATATAACTTTGTTGCTTGTATCTTATGATTTATATTGTTTATTTAGTATCCTAGTATGATTTATGTTGTTTGCTTAGCTAGTATCCTATGACTATCACTAAGTGTTGCACCTTACGATTTATGATGAATGTGTTGTATCTTATGATTTATGATGAATGTATTTTTATGTTGATTAGGATCATGATTTATCACTATTGCTTACACTGAGAGCATATGCACAAGAGACAAATTCCTTGTGTGTCCAACCACACTTGGCCAATAAATAATTCTATCTATTACACCACTAAAAAAAAACCTATACAATGTGAAGTTGGTTTTAAAAATTACAAATTCACGTATCATTAGAATATAAAATGGCAGCCTTTCTTGCATCATTTATTGTAGATAAATGTAATCACTATTCTATCCAACTGAGTTTTTCATGTGAAAAAAGCATTGGGCTCACCTAGCAAGAAGGCTGCAAAGATTATGATTCCTAAGGAAGTTAAATGAATGGATGTCAAGTCATAAAGAAGCATCTGGGGCTTGTATTATTTTTAACTGTGCAAAGATCTGATGACTACTAACCTGTACAAGGTAATCTCTGGGCAAGAGAGGAAGGCGAACATGCTCCATCAGCTTTGCCATGTGTTCTAAGCGAGATTCTTTGTCATAATTTATCCACGAAATGACAGCTTCAAAGACCTGCAAACATAATTTGGAGACATAATTTGTCGTTACAAAATCCAAATTTGAAAGTAGTGATTTCATAAGTTGTGTAATAGTAAGTCTGCAGAAACTAGTTAAACATTTTTTTAAAGGCAGAAGATGGTAACAGAATAAGACTTGGGGAAAAAAGTCAGAAGTTCTAAGAAAAGAACAAATATGTATACCACTAAAAATTCTACTTTTTAGTTTAGAATAGATTTTGAGAGTTAGGGAAAGAAAATCAAATACAGTTTAGGTTGCAAATGTGGTCTCATAACTATAACAACTGTACACCCCAAATCTTGGTTTGTTTTGAAATCATCTAGTCACCAGCAACTGCAAATTTCTTTCAGTACAGGAGTTATGCCTGATAAGGAACTTCCAGGCTGGAAACCTAAATATTATCTGACAGGATCAGAAAGAATGTTGATGAAAAAAGGAGCTTCAATTAATGAAAGTGCAGTAGGAAGAAGTCACCAATGAGATGTCCAGATTAAAGAGCCGATGGCTCTTGTGCACATTTGTACGCTTGTGCTGCTTAAAAAAACGAATCCTTCAGCCAGTGTAAATTAGAGATGGGACATTAAATTGCAAGTGGCACTAATTGCATTCCATCCAGCTTGTTATACTTTCTACAAAAGGTTAATCAAATACTCATTTAGCAATGTTTTAAATTGTGAGCCTTGATCTGTATGCCTCCTCATCTTTTCAGCTTCATTAGTGGCCATTTTGGTCTATCCCTTTCCTGATCATAGAAGTCTTCTGCTTTTAAGTACATTGAATTTTTTTTAGGTTAGAGAATTGCAAAGCCTGCTGGAGTTTATTCCACTTCCGTCTTAGTTCTGGACAGCACCATGCAGACACTTTACAACAGAGGTCCCCAACCTCCGGTCTGGGACCGGTACTGGGCTGCAGCATGCCAGCAACCGGGCCTCACAAACAAGCAAAGCCCCATCTGTGAGATGCTGGCAACACACAAAACCACGCCCCCTCCAGTCCGCAGAAAAATCTCTCTCCACATAACTGGTCCCTGGTGCCCAAAAGGTTGAGAATCTCTGCTTTAGAACACAATTGTGCCAATCTTTAAAGCCCTCATTAGCTTGAGATCCAAATACCTACGGAAGCGTTGCTCCTTATGGCAGCATATCTGTGCCTTGCAAACTTTAGGGAAGGCTCTTCTCAAACAAGAGCATTTATTTCATATCCTTGTGACAGCCAGCAAAAGCTGTCATTTCTCTGAAAGATCTTTCTCTTCTCTCTTACAAAGTGAAGCAGGTTTTGCTCTAGTTTCATAATTACAGAAGACACAAATCAAGAATACCTTTTCCTCTGATGACACTGTGAGCTTGTCACTTGATATCAAGCTGCAAACTTGGTCCAAGCTTAAGCTAAGAAATTCTTCGCCAAGCATCACTTCAGGAAAATGCTGCTCTGTTCCAAAGAATTGGAAATTAAGAAAAGGAAGATCATAATGAAAATCCAAGTTTTCACTCAACCCAAAGGACTAGCAACAATAGCTGAACAATGGGATTGGAGGGTATAAAGAAGAACAGACTGATAGATGCTGAGGAGTGACACCAATAAAGGAAAATGAGTTCCACTGTCACATCAGGAAATGTATATATAGCCTGCTGCTATGAGTGTGTGAAATTCTGAACTTCACAGTCATACTGCAGAAGAGCCACAGCTTAAAACATGCTTGACATGCAAGGGGTTTCAGGTTCAATCATGTACAGAAAACAACAAGAAGGAACATCTAATTGAAACCCTGCAGGAAGCATCTGTCAACCAATGTACAAGCTGTAGGTCATTGACTGTAGGTCAGGGGTCTTCAAATTTGGCAACTTTAAGATTTGTGGACTTCAACTCCCAGAATTCCTCAGCCAGCCCTGGCTGGCTGAGGAATTCTGGGAATTGAAGTCCACAAGTCTTAAAGTTGCCAAGTTTGAAGACCCCTGCTGTAGGTAATAGAACTGTTGTCCAACACATTTGGGAAGTGCTTGGCTGAAAAAGCCTATAAAGCCTGTAATTGTAAATACTGTTTACACATATAAAATAATAACTGTACATTGGTAGAATAATGTAGGGCAGTTCCAAGAAAGACAGCTTCTGATATTAGTGTGAAAAACTGCACAAAGAAACTGAATTTCTCTTCAGACAAGTACTTCATAATAGATTGGGATCTAGCTTGTTTTTCAAGATGAAAAGCAATATAACGATTGCAATACAGATATTATCTTCAGCTCTTTTCATTTACAGTCTCAGCTGAGTGCTATTACTGAGTATTTCTTTAAAGTGGCTCTGTAAACACTTCTGTTTGCCAGCAGATGGCTCTTGAGAACACAAATCTCAACCCAACTTTAATAATTATAATGAACTATCACATATTATTCAATATTATAGGAAGCAATATTTAAAATGAGAATATAATGTTCTGAAGAAATATTTAAAACTGTATAAAGGCAAACATTTACACTCTAGTGGTAACTAGACTGTAGACCATACAACACACTAAACCAAAATCAAATAAATCATAGTGTTAACAGAAGTTATCAGCTTTAGGCATTTCTCAAAGAAGGTATTCAATGAGCTCATTGGTTGCTTTCTGCTGCTTTAAAATGCAAATTATTTCAATGTACACAGTTAATGTATAGCCAAAGGAATCTTGAATGCATTTCTGGAATATTTTCATTAACATTTCACAGGGGGATGTTAAAGTAATATGTTCCTCATGAAGGGCAACAAAACCTCAAGAGCAGTTCTTGCACTTAAACCAGATTTAAATTAAATGTTGTTCAGTGCTGGTCTGGTTAAAGATTAAATGGTTCTAAAAAAATCAAATATTTAAAGGTAATTATTTGTCCCAGATATAAGAAAGTAAGCAAAGCTCTGAACGCCCTACATTCAAGAAGTTCAGAAATGTGGATAAGAGAGCAACAGGCTTCATTTAGCAGCTGACTTTCAAAGCAGGTATAGCAAACATCTTTGTTGATCATAACAACCCATAATTTCTCTGGAAACTTTTACAGGTAACCTTCAACTTACAATCATTCATTTGGTGATCGTTCAAAGTTACAGCCCTTAAAAGACTTACAACCAGTTCTCCCTCTTACAAGCGACATAGCATCCCCACCAGTGACGTGATCAAAATTCAAATGCTTCACAACGGGCATATATTTGTAACCCTCGCAGGATCCTAGGATCACCATCTGCAGCCTTCCCAACCAGCTTCCAACAAGCAAAGTCAATGGGGAAAATTGAATTTGCTTAAACGGCAGCATGGTTAACAACTACAGTGATTTGCTTTGCAAACATGGACACTACTCACTTAACAACCGCCTGGCTTAACGATAGAGAGTCTGGTCTCAATTATGGTTGTAAGTCAAGGACTGCCTTACAGCCAACCCAAACTGACAGTCATCGTCACCGGTCCCAAGGTTTAAGGAGCCGTGGTGGTGCAGGGGTTAGAGTGTAGTATATTTGCAGGCTGACTATGCATTCCCATTGCCAGGAGTTCAATTCTCACCGGCTAGAGGTTGACTCAGCCTTCTGTCCTTCCGAGGTTGGTAAAATGAGAACCCAGGTTGTTTAGGGGCAATATGCTGACTCTGTAAACCATTTAGAGAGGGCTGTAAAGCACTATGAAGTGGTATATAAGTCTAGATGCTATTGCTGGTGCTATTAAGCAAGTGCTTTCTTCACAAGTCCTATATCTCTCCATCTTAGGTTTAATCTCACTATATTAAATGACCCCCAGTTCTGTCAGCCTAGCTAAAGTTCAGATATGTGAATTCTCTGCAATGACCTTGCTGGCCAGGGAATTCTGAGAGTTGAAAGTCTACAGATCTGGATTTGCTCAGGTTAAAAACACCACTTTAACAAGTCTCCTTTTAACTTCCTTTGCTGCAAGCTAACCAATCTAAACACTGTAGCTTTTTTCATAAGACTGCTGCTCTAGCCCCATAATCATATTGACTGCCCTTGTTTATATCTTTCCCGGCTTTCAAATTGGCCAAGGTTTGATGAATACCTGTATGCGTACTCTAAGTGCAGTATCACCAAAGATATATTATGAAGTGGTATATTGGTTGAACTGCTTATCAATAGGGCTTCTGTTCTCGTTTCATTACATCAGTAACAAGACCTTACAAAAATGTATTTTATGCATGTGAAAAAGGCCGTCTGCACTTAAGTAAAGGAACAAAATACAAGATCAACATTGCAGATATGCAAAACCTTTAGATCTGGTTTGTTTAGTGACCATGTCAATACAAACGTGCAGATAAATTGTGCTAATAAGGGATGCCTGTATGAGTTGTTTCATTTTCAATTCTTCCTTTCCTAATGCCTCCAAGCCTGAAATACGCCTTTTCTTTTCTACACATATCACAGAATGCATCCATGTTTGCCTAGCCCTATCTGTCATGTTTCAAAAATCCCCCTTTTTAGTCAGTCTTCAAGACAACCTGGCATATGAAAATTATCTCTATTTTCTGTTAGTTTAGTTAGCTACCATTATGTCAGAGCATCTATCCTCTTAGCACATGCCTGCTGCACTTCATTAATTAAAAACATGCAGAAAAGATTTGTATCTGGATTTGCAAATTAATTTAACTCACACTTAAAATGTCCTAATTATCAGTCAAGTGCAGTTTATTTCAACAAGGAGGATAGAAATAGAGCTGCAGCTATATAGAATCATCTTATTATCCTACTGTGTTACCATCATCATCATCATCATGAGCCATGGTGGCGCAGTGGTTAGAATGCAGTATTGCAGGTTACTTCTGCTGACTGCCAACTGCCTATAGTTTGGCAGTTCGATCCTGACTGGCTCGAGGTTGACTCAGCCTTCCATCCTTCCAAGGTCAGTAAAATGAGGACCCAGATTTTTGGAGGCAATACCTGACTGTATAAACTGCTTAGAGAGGCCTGTAAAGCTGTAAAGGGGTATATAAATCTTAGTGCTATTGCTATTACTATCAAGAAAGAAGACTCTATCGTTGATATGGACACCATTTCCATTCCTTTAGGAAAGGCTCCAGGTAAGGCACTTTATGGTAAGGACAATTATGACAAAGGCTACAATGGGACTAGGGAATAGATCTGAAATCTCTGGAGAAAAACAATTTGCTTCAGTGGTCAGGCATTTTCTGCAGATCTGTTGAAGTATTTGACTTCAAAGCCGATAAATAACAATAGTGAGAGGATACTTTAAGATTCACTACTGTATTCTTGCTATTTTACCTATAACTTTCTATAACTGTTTATCCTTCTGAGAGCTGAAACAAGACCATGTGGTTTAAGTACTCCCCATATCAGAAACCTGCCAATTGGAAATTGAACAAGACTACATTTTTACAACTTCTCTCAAATACTGTATATTCACTTCCAGTGAACAGAGTAAAAAGTCTTTAATATTATAGCTGTATACTACATTTTAATCATATAACAGGCCAATGGCAGGCTACCAGTTGGCTTCAAGAGTTGTAAGTTCAAATAAGAGGCACCCTAATGGCTCAAAAACCACTTCCTCTCCCTATTCTTCCACTACCTTCTCAATTCTGAAATAGCTGAGACAAGCTTGCAGCAGAAACAGAACAGTACATTTTCACCAAAAACTTGTCCTTCAACCTGACCTTATATTTTCCGAATACTCCTTCTACTCAAACAACCAATTACACATGATAAAAACCTCTTCTTTGTAACTCCTTCAACTCAAAATATCTGCTTATTCATGATACAAGCTCTTCATTGTAGCTTGCTCTCTCTACTTACATCTAGTCTTTCTGTTACTTCTCTTTCTTTCTTTAGATTTTGTGTACTTTTCTTCTTCCTAATGTAAGATTAGAACCTGACTATAAATTTGTTTTCCTCCATAGCTCTCTTAACATTCTCTGGTTTTTCTCTAAAAACCCATCATGGTGTTTCTTTCCTATGCAAACTTGACTCCACAACCTTCGGCTCAAAAGATAAAATGTTCTTTGATTTTTAAATTCAGTGGGTACGTCCAAGAAAGCAAAAACATGCGCCCAAGTAGAACCTCAACGTTCTACCTAGCCACATATCTTTTTTCTAACTTCCCCCATATCCTTTTCCAGTTAATGATGTATTAACTTAGAGTTGACTAGGGAGCAGACAATTACTATTAGGAAGGATAAGGCTGATTGTTGTTTCAGTATATCTTAAATATGCAATGGTCATTTTACTCAACACTGCCATTTCAAAACATTGGTATAATTTTTTTTGTAAAAATTCTGTAAAATTGCCTGCTTGTAAATTGAAAGCATTTTGTAATTCTCTTGTCTGTTTGGAACATCTAGGATGAAAAGGTGTATTTAAAGTACCAGATGTCTATTTAGATGAGATAATATCTTAATGGTGGCTTTTTCCAATGTTTGTCCCTCCAGACCTGAAGAGCATGCAGGCAAGGAATTTGGAGAGCTGAAGTCCATTCTTCTGAAGGACACCTAGGTTGGGGTGGCTGTTCTAGCTTAAGAGTATGAAACATACTGACCTCCAAACTACAACTTTTGATATACTTCATCCAACATCATCATTATTCAAGAATTATGAAAATTCATCCTGAAATATCTATGAGATGCCATGCTGCCTTCCTCTACTTGAGTGATTTAGATTATATAAAATGCTAATTCTAACCGGTAAAATTCAACTGAAAATATATAAATATATTATCACCTGCAAAATTAGCAAAAATGTTTAAAAATGTGTCTAGCAATTGTTGGAAATGCAGACAAAATCCATGCACGTATTAGCATCTTTGATGGACATGCCCCAAAGCAAAGAACTATTGGTCAAAAATATATAGGTGGCTAGAAAACATGATAGGAGCACATGTAGACTATAAACCAGAATTGTTTCTTTTAAGCATAATTTCAGAAAATTATGATAAGAAATGTGTATACTTAATATTACATATATTAACAGCAGTGAGAATTACATTTGTTCAATACTGGAAAAATGAAGAAATACCATCTGAAAATGAAGGGGAAGCAAGATTCAGAATACTTTCAAACATGGGAAAATTTTTACAAATGATTAGAAAAATGAAATAAAGGGTAGGAATAGAAATTGTATTGCTATTAATGTTAAACACATAAACCCAGACAATGTGTTGCTTATTAAATACTAAAGACTGTTACTGTAAAAAAATAATAAAATATACATTAAAAAATGAAAATATATAAATATTTAGTTGAATTTTACTGGTTAGAATTAGCATTTTATATGTTAAAAGTTCTCTTATTACGCAACAGGATCACCTACAAGCTTAAGCCGCAAATTAGTTCTCCCCCCCCTCCCCCTTTGTTTTGTTTTATATTGAAGGATGAGTACCAGTATTCAAGATGTCAATATTTTCATATTTGAAAACCAGGAACATCTTGAGGTTGTTACAATCACCTGCATAGGCATTGGCCTGTTGCAATAATTCTGTGCAGGTGTGCACATCTGCAAATGCGCGAATTCCAAGGCAATTTGTGGGATGGAGCTGAGACTGAAGAAAGTCACAACAGTTCTGTCGAACATCCATCAGCTGTAACAAGCTGGCAGCTGGCAATAAAACCTGAAATTCAAAAAAGAAAAGCAATTAACAATTGAAGTCCCATGTTAGGTCCTCCAAAAAATACCGCATTGAAACACGATTCTAAAAAGTATTAAAGACTAACCAAACTACAACACACCAGAGCAAGAAACGAACTATATTTCTCTACTTCTTCAACATACTTCAGCCAAACAGAACAATAAAATTGCAGTATGCCCCGAGGTGCATTCATTCTATTATTCCAGCAAGAACAATCTAACCCAGCTGGATCACACGGGAATATCACAAATCAGTAACTTTTTTAGAGAGCACTAACCCCAACAGGCATCAATAAAATTAAACAATCAGTTTCTAGGCCTCAATACCTTGATTCTTAGAATAGATTAGCCCTCACCTAGTAAAGAGAAACTAATAGTAATTGGGGTTTTTTTTAGCTAACATCAGTTTTTCAGGATTTTAATATTCTCAAATAATGAAGGACAAAATGAAAAGATAATTAACAGCATGCTTCCCAGGAAGGGGAACATCCACATCTATGTTATATTTCAATGGTTAAATTATTGGAGTATCATAGAACAAGAGCCAGCACTTTCAAAATTGGCAAACTGGACTCTCAAAATTGGCAAACTGGACTCTCAAGATTCTATCCCAGAGGTCATCAACCTTTTGGGCACCAGGGACCAGTTCCGTGGAGAGAAGTTTTTCCATGGACCGGAGGGGGCGTGGTTTTGTGTGCTGCCTGCATCCCACAGATGGGGCTTTTCTTGTTTGTGCGGCCCAGTTGCTGGCATGCCGTCGCCCGGTAAAGGTCACGGACCGGGGGTTGGAGACCCCTGCTCTATCCTTTAGAAACCCCTTCACAGATCTTCTCAGACTGAGAGGAAAAGTTTAAAAGTGTTTCATCTCTTGTTCATCGTTTTCCACAGAACTGGAAACCCTAAGCTGCAAATTCCTGACTCTCTGGAGAATAATGACTCTGAGAAGGTGAAGATAGTTACAGCTCAATGCAGATTTTCCCTGCCAATTCAAGCAATCAGGAAGAGATGGAGATGGGTTGTTACCATGCTCATATCTATATTTCCTATTTTATAATGCCTGGAGAGGGCCTCAAAGTGATCTCAACTAGAATGTAACACCAGGAGTTGGGATGTACAAAAACAGATAAATATGAACTGAATACTAACCTTTGAGCATCCAAACTCACACTGCAATGGACTGTAAATTTCATTTAAAATCTTTAGATTTCATTATCCTCATTAAACTCTATGGTGGTGGTACACTACGCCTATTATCCATATGGACCGGATGCTGGCTTGCTAAGTGGGGTGGGGTTGGTGGGTGGAGCACAACTATGTAAAGCACTGGAACAATTCACTCCCAGTGCTGACTTTTCTTTTGCATTAAAGTTTGCTGGTCACCTGTTCCTTCTGTGTTTGGAGTTTATCAGCAGCTGCCAGAGGACAGCTGACACCTGAACTGAAACAACAAACAACACACTAGACCAGTGTTTCCCAAACTTGACAATTTTAAGGCATGTGGACTTCAACTCCCAGAATTCCACAGCCAGCATTGCTGGCTGTGGAATTCTGGGAGTTGAAATCCACATGCCTTAAAATTGTCAAGTTTGGGAAACACTGCACTAGACCAAGCTATTGTATTTTCACTGTCATGTCAAATGTAGTGTTCCAAAAGTACATTCTGTATTTTTAATCTCTTCAGAGATGCTCAATCTCGAAAAGACAGTACCAATTTTGTGTGTGAACATTCATGCACACATGAGTATAATAAATCAAATGACAATGGTTCATTTTAAATTTCAACCCAAAACGTATTCTGTACTTTTACTACTTTTTTACAGCTAACATTAAAAAATGAAAACTTTCCAAAGTGGCTTACATAAAAAAAGCAATAATCCTTTTTCTCTACTTTTGATAAACCCTCCTATGATTAGTGGCTCTTTTGACTGAGATGTGTACAAGATGATACTGTAAATGGTACTAACAGCAAGAAAATAATGAGAAGAAACAAAATATAAAAAGCATATCTGCTAATAAATTCTATCATAGGTTTGTTGACCACCGTTCCCAATAATTTACACATAGTATTTTTTTATGCAAAATTTTACAGAACTAAAATATACATATATTCAGGAATGAAGGCGAATATATGTGTCCCAGTATAATGTTGCAGGATCCAATCTGATCCTCTGGGGCCAAATTGGATCCTGCAACATGTATTCAGATCAATGATTTGAACAACACAAGAAACACCACTGGCGGCAGGAGTTTTTTTTCAAGAGTAAACAAAGAGAACTCAAACATTCTTTAAATGTTGCTTGAGGCATCCTTGGTACTCTCTGATGAAGTTACCTAGTTTGGGCAATGAAACATCTGCAAGAAAACAACCAAGTCCAGAGTGCACCAAGGACCCTCATTTCAATCCTAGCTATCGATAAATATTGCTTGTTCAAAATTAATCTCTGTGTTTTACTTATATCCACAAGACTGAAAATATATTACCTCTTAAGCTTCCTGCTATTTCGCATAGTTATATTGAATATGGATGCTTAAAATGGCTCTATTTCTTAAGATTTCAAATTTATGTACTTTTAAACATTTAACTGTTTTCTTACATTGTCATATTTCATACTCGGGGAAACGTGATACATTGATTTGTTGTAATTAAATAATACAGTTAAGAACCAGCAGAAAATCATCATCAAAAGCCTTGTAAGATGGAAAGCATTCTACAGCCGATTAAAAAATAATTTGCAGGCCAGGAAGCTTCAATGATCTGCCAACACCACAGAGGAACCAAGAGGTTCGTTCCCAACTTCCCTCACCTGGACATTCTCTTCTGTGACCTCTACCTCTGCTGTGTAGATATAATCAATTAGCTTGCTTAAGGTTAGTCCATCAACATCTTTGATTTCTATCTTCTTTGCTTTGCTTTCCGTCATATCTCCTGAAATGCAATTTTAGAAATTAGTTTAAGCGGCAGTCATGAGTCTGAGCTGGGAGAGTTGCCATTAGGTTCCCTTTTATTTTAAAAACAACCTTTTGCATAGCCAAAAATACATTTGGGAAAGTGAACAAATCTCTTTTTGAACCAATTATTAGGGACCTATTGTTTTGAGGATGATGGAATGGTCAGCTGTTAGGACTAGACAATCTCCCAAGTCCCTTCCATCTCTTACAATCTGTAGTGTTCTACATAATTTTGTACAAAAACAAAAAGCCAAAACCAACATGTTTTTGATTCTTTTCTAAAATGATAAATTGAGTATTTTTATGCCTACAAAACTAGGTAACTGTGCTTATCCTCTGATTAAGAACACAATGATTGTGACTGTCATAGTGAAAAGTTCTTCCGTTTCTGTATTCCTTTATAGCCAAACCTCAGAATAGATAGTCTGAGTAAAACCAGAGTGGACAAGAATACAGCATTTGGGGATATATTCCATATATCTTTGGAGATGGATTTTAATTAGGGGGAAAATTAGGAGAAGGGAACTGAGGATAGTATGATCAGGGCTTTTTTTTTTCATAGAACGCCCAGAATGGAGTTCCGGCACCTTTTTTGGATGGAACCTTGTAGGGTAGGCAAGGCAGGTTGTATGACGTGTGTGAGTTCTGACACCTTTTTTTTTTCTTTTTTTAGAAAAAAAGCACTGAGTATGATTAAATCTGAAAATCCAAACTGTATCTTTCCATTATACATTCTTATTGCTATATATGAACATTGCCAAGTTTTGTAATTTCTGTTTCATAAATGAAGAGTTTTATTATTTACAGTCCTCATCTCAAATTTAACTGGGAGAACCGAGGTGGCGCAGCAGTTAGAGTGCAGTACTGCAGGCCACTTTAGCTGACTGTGTTCAGCAGGTCACCGGTTCAAATCTCACCGGCTCAAGGTTGACTCAGCCTTCCATCCTTCCGGGGTAGGTAAAATGAGGACCCAGATTGTTGGGGGCAATGTAAATATATATATACATTGCTTACTGGTGTACACCGCTTAGAGAGTGCTTGCACTTAAAGCGGTATATAAGTCTCATAAATAAATAAATAAATAAACTGACTTGAAAAAGAAGACAGGACACTTATCCATTACTTAAATTATTTCCTTTTTCTCCCAAATATATTTCTAGCTTGATGTTCCTGGGAAGGAGAAAAATATTTTCTTGCCTTTTCTTCACAAAAAGTGATTCTGCCTATTACTAAAAATGAGGACAAATCCCTGCATTCCTGACAGTAGATAATTCCTTTGGATTTATCACTAGTGAGTTTTAATCATGGAGGACAACATAATTCTAGTAGCCTATCATTGGCAATGGATTTACTCAGCAAATATTCTACCAAATCACTTAAATATGATGTGTGAACTTTATTCTTTTTCTATCACACATTCAGATATGTAGCAAATCTTTCACCAAGTAGTAAAATATTTGCCCATGCAGTTGAATAATCTGCATTATCATACAGTACTTTGTCATAGCAAAGCATTTCAGCACAGAAACTATCCCTGTTGTTTGCTATTTTTTTAGTAATAGTTTATTCGTTTATCAAAATATAAAATACAAAGAGAAATTCAAAAAAGTAATAGAAAACTAGGAGGAGGGAGAGGGGGAAATGGTGTAAAGAGAGAAAAGAAAAAGGCACCAACTTCTGACTCTCTTTAGCACAGTAGTAGAAGATAAGATTACAACTGCAACTTTTACTTTTACACAACAGTATGTACAAGCCATTTCTATAATAATAAACCTATCTAATTAGCAAAAACAAAATCAAAGTTTCATTTTTTTTATTGCAAGCACAAAATCCAGAAGCAATTTTAAAATAGAAACAAGGTAGATATATTTTCTCTTCTTTAAATAAAAGAATCAATTTGGCCATCTCTGCTTCTCTTTGCTGTGGGGAATAATATATACTTCAATTAACTCATTAATCTTTATCATAATTCATATTAAGAGAATCGTCTATATTATTTCAACTTTTTTACCCCTAAAGGGAGAAAACACTTTTTCCAGTTTGGATATTTTACTATTTACTGTTGTTCACTATTGTGCTCCATGGCTGATGTCACCTGTAATGTGTGACATCTAGCAACATTGCCTGATCTGGAAAAAAACAACAACTGCAGATTGGCAATTTATTATCTAATGTAATTACCTGGGGAGGCTTTTTCATTTTCAAAGAATGGTACACAGTAGATTTGAGAAAGAGAAAAAGGCAATGGGGAATATACGTGGGTGGGAGGGAAAAGACACACCTGCTTTAAAGACTTGCTGACAAACTGAACAAGAGCACCAAACATGCTTCAGAGCTTTTTTCCCTTTGAATCTGCACAGTCTTTATGGGCATATGCACAAAAAAGAGGAACTAGGGTTTGGGTTTTTTTTTTAAGGCCTTATAAAATTGGCACATACTGTTTGGAAAGAACTACAAGCATTATCAGTGACAATATTTCTTAAATAGCAAGAATATAATCTTTCATACACATCCCCCCCATTGGTAGCAAAATATTGTAACAATTTATAGGACAAGTATGATTAATTAGCAGTAGATCAATTAACACTTTTGTACTCATGTACTTTGAACAACAAAGAAATGGAGATTGGTTTCTTATTTAGCGCTTTGCAGGCAACCGAGTCAGTCTGTACAATTGCAATGTTACAGCCATTAAAAAATACTTAAGTGTTTTAAAGATCACTTCATACAAGTAAAATGTTTTAAAAATACCTGAACTGTATCTATTAAATGTCACACACATGCACAAGTACACTTCTATTTCTTCATTTGCTCAAGCAAAAAGAAACCATGGGTTTTTAATGACTGTGATCAAAAAGTCAAAAGAGCTCATTATTAATTGTAAAATATTATGCAGATGAAACATAGTCACAAGTAAGATACTTAGTGAATTGTGGTCTGCAGAGGATTCACCCCAAGGGTGATATTACACTCTGAAAGATTTTTTTCTATTTTTGAGGTAAAAATCATAACCCCAGTTACCATAAACGATAAAGAAAGGCAAAAAAAATGGAGAGAAGAGAGACAAAAGATCACAGAGCTTGTGTTTGTTTTAAATGGATAAGTACCGGTTGTCACCTTTGTGCTCAAATAAGGGTCTTACCCTCTACCACAGTCTGTCCAATCCGTAGCCTAGACTTCTAGTAATGCGGTCCTACAAGATTGTAAACTTTTAATATTATGTGATTTATATACATTAACTACAGGTAGTCCTTGACTTACAATCATAATTGAGCCCCAAATTTCCGTTGTTAAGTGAAACATTTGTTAAGTGAGTTTTGCCCCATTTTACAACCTTTCTTGCCACAGTTGTTAAGTGGATCGCTGCAGTTGATTAGTAAGTAACCCGGTTGTTAAGGGAATCTGGCTTCCTCTTTGATTTTGCTTGTCAGAAGATCGCAAAAGGTAATCCCATGATCTTGGGACACTGCAACCGTCATAAATATGAACCAGCTGCTAAGCATCTGAATTTTGTTGACATGATCATGGGGCTTCTGCAAAGGTCGTAACTGTGAAAAACAGTCATAAGTCACTTTTTTCAGTTCCACTGTAACTTTGAACAATCACTAAACAAACTGTTGTAAGTCAAGGACTATTTATTCCTCTTCAGTCAATGCAGCTCAGGCAAGCCAAAATGCTGGACACCCATGCTCTACTATCAAAGCCAGTCCAATGACAGCCTTTATGCAAAGGACAAAAAAAACCTATACTAAGAAGAGTATATTGATTTTAACTTACACTATCTCCACAATAAAATCCATAATGTGAAACTCCACAGCCATGAGACATTCACTAACAATGAGGAATATTGGCTTATACTGTAAGCAATGTACTTTGTGCCCCTTTTTCCTTCTTTTTAATAAAGGCTGTGCCTCCATTTCTCATCACACATTCATATAACAGCATCCCATGTAACATCACCAAGTAACATTCTCTTTACTCTTCCCGAAATAACAGTAGTTATTTGTTTGGAAAACAAAGTTACCTGTAAACATTGCACAGAAATATGGACTGCAAGCTGCTAGGACAATACGGTGGGCTTCAATTTCAATGTCTTCAGCAACGATTACCACATCGCAAAGAAGCCGCTTGCTGTGAACATATCAACAGTGATGGTTTCAGAACCAATCTGGCAAATACAGAACTATTAAATAAATAGTAAGTAAATGTAGGCTACAGTTGCGATGCTTGTTTACCTTTTTATTAGGATCTACAGTATATGCCACTTATTAGAATAAATCTTCCCAGATAATAAAAATTGCAAAAATATAACAACACCGTAATAAGAAAAACAATTATACAATAACCCACCAATCCCCAATTCAAACGAGTCAGTGCCATGTATGCAGTGTTGTTGACCCGGAATTAGGAGACAGCATAGGAAGTATCAGCTGAATAAAAACGTAAAGCTTAAAGGCAACTTCTGGTTTCCTGTATTTTTTTTATCAAGCAAAACCTCAGAACCTGCACAACAGTGTCCTTCACCAAATTCAGTTTCAGTTACAGGCTAAGATAGTCATGTAAGGTTTAAGAGGACTAGAGAGATAAGGTCTAACAAACATCACATGGAAAGCAATGCTACAAGCAAGTCACAACTGAGAAATAGCAATCCCTTGTTCAATCTGGTGAAATGAATAATGAGCACAAAAGCAGGCCTCCAGTGCCAACTACAGTGTTTCCCCGAAAGTAAGACCGGGTCTTACTTTCTTTTGGATTCTGAAGTAAGCACTAGAATTTACTTCCAGGGACGGCTTCCTTTTTGCCAGTATCAGTAGGCAGTGAGCGCGCAGGGATGGGGCAGGGCCTGTGCATGGCGTGAAGAAGCAATGCAACGGTGAGAGTGTGGTGGCGGACCAGTTATGGTACCGGTACGGGCAGGGCGCATGCCCTTCCCGTGCCAGGTCAGCCCCTACAACTTCCAACTTCTTGCGAAAAAGATCTTGCAAAGTTGGAATTGATTGATTGACCTTTTTTCCCCAAAACAACTTCATTTGTTTCCCTGCACACGGCAGCGGAGAAATGTGAAGGAAAAATGGAACGGGGCTGGAAGTCAGGTAAGGAAAGAAATGAAATTCCTGGGGGAAGCAAGGGTATCTGTGCAGTGGTGTGGTAAACTCTCCAGCTTCACGGGGAAGGGGCAGCCAGCATGGGTGCTGACAGCAGGGCGCCCGCCCGCTTCACCTCCCTCCCTCCCCAAGCCTCCAGCACTCCACCTGCCACTTTGGTCAGCCTGGCCACTGCCTAGCAAGTTTGGAGAAGGCTGCACTATAAAGCATGGGCAGCTAAAATCAATCTAACTGCTATCTTAGACTTCCCAGTTAGTATATGGCCCATCAGAAGTACAATCCAGATTAAAATCTAGTATAAAACTCAATCCAAAATAGGTAGTTTCCCAATCCCTACAATCTCTATCTTTCTGGATTAATTTTTCATTATCTCATCCTCATCTGTCTCTAAAAACTATCTAGTTACCAGTTTTGTTTTTAAAGCTTAGTTTAGAGCAGGACAATTGGCCAAAAATAAAGATGAAGCCAATTTCGGCATTATCCAATTCCATGACTGTATGGTCTTCCCTCCTTAAACTGTACAGGTAGTCCTTGACTTACAACCACAACTGAGCCCAAATTTCTGTCGCTCAATGAAACATTCATTAAGTAAATTTTGTCCATTTTACGATTGTTAAGTGAATCATTGAAGTTGATAGGTTAGTAACAAGGTTGTTAAGTGAATTTAGTTTTTCCATGGACCTTGCTTCTCAGAAGGACAGGACACAACAAAGGTCATAAATATGAACCAGTTGCCAAGCACCTGAATTTTGATCACATGATCATGGGGATGCTGTGAAGGTCATAAGTATGAAAAACAATCATGTCGTATTTTTCAATGCTGTTGTAACTTTGAACAGTCGCTAAATGAACTGTTATAAATCGAGGACTACCTGTACTTCCATCAGTATATTTAGCATCCACTTTTATATTATTTTGAATTTGAATTGCATATGTGCTGCAAGCTAAAATGGATGACCCCCAATGACACTGTTACTCAACCTACAAGACTTGAGTAGCGATACCTGGGAAACTATCTGGGTGAGAAATGTTAAATTTACACAAGCCCAGAATTTAAGGGAGAATTTTTATAAAATGTTTTATAGATGGCACCTTGATCCACAAAAGATGTCTCTCATGTATCCTGACTTACAGCCTAAATGTTGGAGATGTGGCTGTTTGGATGCCACTTATTATCATATTTGGTGGTCGTGTAAAAATATAAAAGCTTTTTGGATTAAGATATGGTGGAATATTCAGAGAATTTTTAGAAAGAGGGTAAAATTTACTCCACAATTATTTTTGCTTGGTATTGTTACTGATTGTGATGCTAAGGAGGTTATATTGATGTTGAATTTAATTACAGCCGCAAGGCTGCTAGTAGGTCAATATTGGAAGAAGGAATCTTTGCCTACTTTGCAAGAGTGGTTTTTTAAAGTATCTTATTTGGCGGAAATGGCAAAGATTTCGGCTTTCTTAAAAGAGCAAATGCAAGAGAAATTTTTTGCTGTATGGGAAAAATGGATAAATTTTATACACTTTAAATTGGATATGAAAAAATACCATTTAGCTTTTTTATAACTTGTATAAAAACTCTACTTTTTTTTTCTTTGCTTTGCTTTTTTTTAAAATATTTTTTCTTTTTAAGGTTTATAATTCTTTATTCATATATATTTTGTTCTTAATTATCTTATAATTTTGTTAATTTCTTTTAATTAAGCCTATATTCTGGTCTGGGAAGCTCGGGGGGGGGAGGGAGGGGGTGATTTGGGAGGGGTTGGGGGAGGGTTGTATTGTTTTGTTTTTTGTTTTTTTGTCTTATTGTAGTTGTTATTTTTTTTCTGTCTTTGTAAAAGTTTTTTAAAAATTTTCAATAAAAAAAAAAGACTTGAGTAGCATCAGTTTCTTCATTTAAAACACAATTAATATTGTTCCTATTTCGATTGCCCATTTACCCATATGCTGGACTTTTAAGATACAAAGATCAAGTTTCTTATTTATCTACATAAAGGCTCAAAAGTATAGATTTCATTTTTAAAAACTTGTTCCATATATATTGCATTTACCTGGGCTCATCTGGGGATAAACAAACATTGTCAGATCAGGATAATCAATAAGTAAACATAATTTAATGGTGTCTGAATTTTCTATCTCCAGCACTAATAAACTGGCAGGTCAAATCAACCATCCATTCTTGGACGAGTTTGTTTCACAGGGAAGACTCAAGAGTGCAGCTGACTTTTAATGTCACCAGCACTAAGGAATCCCAAGTTATATGGGAAGATCAACTCTCACCAGCTAAGACTCTTCCTCCTTTTATTGGTACAGTATATCCCTTTCTTAAATAATGTTACCAGAGGCAGATGGGCTTTTCTCGCTTTCCTGTCCCCACACTGATTCATTGGCCCCTCAACACCGTTCTGCATAACCCTGCTATGGCAATCAGCTGTCATCTACCACTTTAAAGTATTCAACAGGTGCCCTATTTTAGTTCTGTGATGTCTCAGCAGCAGAAGCAATAGTAGTAAGAATAAATCAGCAGTAAGCAGGAAAGGGAAGAGATAAGAGGAGTTTCAGGACAGCTGCAGTGTAGCTTGCTTAGAAGGACGTCACAGGTAACATATATTATTAGTGCTTCTAACAGGAAAGCTGTCAGTCTTCTCCCATTATTCCCCACAGCATTAAATTACAAATAGAATAATCTAGTATTTTATCATACTAATCTGCCTTGCACCAAACAATCCACAGTCCTCCAGTCTTTCATGTTCTATGCCATCAAAGAAGGGGCAAAAGCAAGTTGACACCAAAACCAAGGGACACAGGAAAGATAATTCACTCAGGACTGACATCTTCCCAGACAAGGCATACAAATGCTTTTCCATGTGTTCATCCCATGGCATGGCTGTTGTGTTATAAAGCAAGGACTGTGTATTATTAAGCAATGGCTGGGGGGAGGGAAAAAAAGGAGCCTGGTAGTACCTTTTCCAACTAACAAGGTTTATTAAAGTATGGACGCTAGATTCCTGACTTTTATTGAACTCATCTGACAGTGGTTTGATGGATGGAGATCCTCAGTCATCCAGGTCATGGTTGTCCCAAAGGTGCTTTTTCACAAGGCAATTGGACTTTCTTTTTTCTCTTTGAAGACGTTTCAAAGAAGCTTCTTCAGCTCTGACTGGATCCTTCCATTCCCCACCATCCAGTCAGAGCTGAAGAAGCTTCTTGGATGAGAAGCAAAACATCTTCAAAGAGAAAAAAGAAAATCCAATTGCCTTGTGAAAAAGCATCCTTGGGACAAATGCAACAGAGGTATCTCTGGAAAGGACTAGGTCTATGTCCTGGCCATTTTCTTGGACCAGAATGGGACAACTCACTGCAGCCAACTCGCTACGGCCAATTTGCTGCGGCCAACTCACCACATGGGACAATTCGCTGTGGGACAATTCAACAATTCAATTTAAGTATTTAAAATAATTTTAAAAATATTTTAATTTTTGCCATTCACATTTCATTTTGTCCCTGCTTTGGCATCCTTTCTTTAATGATTCTATCCCACTATTTCTTCAATATTAGTATTAACTCTTGTCCTGTAGCAAGTTGTCCCACAATGTCTAGCCATTAAGAGTTGTCCCGTGGCAACTTTGCCGGAGTAAGATGTCATAGACCCTTCTTGGACAGTAGGTGGTAATTCAGCTAGTACCATTCTACAATATTGTACTTTACTATAAAGGCAGCCACCTGTGATTGCTGCAGAGTAACCACCTTGCCATTATTGACCAAATTGTCTTGCCTGCTCCATTCAATTGTACACTATTGCAGTTTAACTGCACTATCTCGGAATGGAAAGCAGTGCTGTAGAGTTCTTGCCTTTCGTCACACTACTGTTTGAATGTTCCCAGTCAGACACAAGATCCTCTTGAGCCAAGTCAGTGCTTGCTGCTGTCCACATACCCTCAGCACCTGTTCCTGCCATCATGTTACATTCTAGATGAGCATCACCCTGCCCCTTTTGCTAGAGTTCTGTAATTGATTACAACTAACATCAAACTAGCTATAGAGAAGGGAGAGAAGAAGCAAATATGTGGCTAGCAAGGAGGAAGTAGGGAAGGAAGGAAATCCAGTAGCGGAGACGGAAGGCAAACAAGGCTACCAAGGCCCCTGTAAAAACTAAAGAAGTCCTGGTTTGCAGATTCCCAAAGTTATGTTGGTGACTCAGGCAGCATACAAAATCTACTGTATATAATAAAAAGTACCGTATTTTCCAGCGTATAAGACGACTCGACGTATAAGATGACCCCTGACTTCGGAGCCAATTTGCATGCTTAGAAAGTCATCTTATACGCCAGAAAATATGGTATATTAATATTACTAAGGTACAATGTCCAACAAACTGCTTAAACAATCCTGTTATTTTATATAACAGCACTAGCAAATGTGAAGCACCATATGATTTGGGGGCTCCAAAGAGGAACTTCATACAAAGTACAGCAACTGATTTGAATTAACTTTTTTTCCCCATACAAAAAAAAAGTGTTCTACATGTTAGATGCCTCCAACTCCAGCCAGCAAGTGTCTAATAAATTGCACAGAGATACAAAACTGAACATGAAGAAGTACCTCCTTAATTCATTCATGACTTTGAATGCCTTTCCCGTGTGACAAGAGTTGATGGTCACTGTCCGCTGATCCTTATCTCCATCTGCCTCAGGTGGTTGGGGCCACCTCTTGATGCTAAAGACAAGAAAGAAAAGCAAATAAACATTCCCTTTTAATTTACAAGATAAAATACCACCTAAAAATTTAACATGAAATCGTTAATCTCATTGGTTGTCACATATTGTAAGTGATCACAAATGTTTAGCTTATACAGTACAACCAGCTGTCTCTACTGTGGCTGCCTAGTATAACTGGAATCCTATTTTAATATCACAAGTAGGCCAAAGCGAATGCTTTTGATGTAACTATGTGAAATATGTGCTCAGAACACATGCACAAATTCTTTGCTTAATCAATACAAGCATTTGTGGATAGCATACATGAGGTTTTAAAAAGAAGTATGCATATGTATGTGTAATTTTTTTTAAAGTATTCACATGGAAAGTAATGTGTCTAACCCTCTGACTCTTAGATTTACTAAGAATAAGGTAATGCAGGCAGATCAGTTTTTCTGTCTAAATCTTCCTGAGGAAAATGCAGTTATCATCCTTTTTGGTAAATACAATACGTCATCCGGATTAAAAAGTAGAAAGTCAGAGTCATTGGAATTACAACTGATCTATTTATTGAACCTGAAAAAAAAGACACTATTAGGAAATGTTTTTGTTTTCTCCCATGAAATACCCACATCCAGTGTTTGAAACCACTCACAGGCTCACAAATCTGAAAGGCAATACAGTTAACAACAATCACTCTGTAGCCACAAACTGAAGTAAAATATTCAGTACTTCATTCACAGATATAAAAAAGCAGTCCATACATTTTCTCCCAATATTTTAGTGCACTCTCAAGGTCAAATGGAGAGGACTAGTGGCATGAATGTACTACCTAATTCAAAAGCATCTGTTAATAGCTCTAAAGCAAGGCCATTTCTACTTACACTCTGGCCAGAAACAAACACAGGATCTTGCCAAACCAGTTCCATCAAAACAAAACAAAAAAACACATTCACTCACAGCGCTGGCGATTTCAGCTCTAGGTAAACACTCCCTGAAAAGACAAAAGGCTAATTGAACCAGTCCCTAGAGATGCTGCCACATGACCCTGGGGAAGCAGCAAACCTATCCACATGGCATTCTCACAAATCCAGCTTTCACTTTTAAACTGGGCCCTCAGCCACCATCAATAAAGACTAAGAACTGGGAAGACTGGGTGATTTTGCTTATGTATGCAAGGTACTGGAACCCTTCCTGCTGCTCCTCTGGGATTTTTAAGGAAAGAAACTGCTCCTTGCCCTCATTCCTATCCAGCCTACCTTTCAGACACATTTTCATGTTAGCTCTCCAATCTTCCCTGGAAATAATCCACTGGTTGACTCCCTCTTCTAATACAGCTAGTCCTCAACGTACGACCACAATTAAGCCCAAAATTTCTGTTGCTCAATGAAACATTCCTTAAGTGAATTTTGCCCCCTTTTACGACTTTTATTGCCACACTTGTTAAGCGAGTCACTGCAATTATTATTAACATGTTAAGTGAATCTGGCTTCCCCGTTGACTTTGGTTGTAAAAAGGTCGCAAAAGGGGATTACATGGCCCTACAACTAGGATGAATATGAGCCAGTTGCCAAGCACCCAAATTTTGATCACATGACATCACATTGAGCCGAGGTGGCGCAGCAGTTAGAGTGCAGTACTGCAGGCCACTTTAGCTGACTGTGTTCAGCAGGTCAGTGGTTCAAATCTCACCGGCTCAAGGTTGACTCAGCCTTCCATCCTTTCGGGGTAGGTAAAATAAGGACCCAGATTGTTGGGGGCAATGTAAATATATATATACATTGCTTACTGGTGTACACCGCTTAGAGAGTGCTTGCACTTAAAGCGGTATATAAGTCTCATAAATAAATAAATAAATGACCACGGGGATGCAACGGTTGTAAGTATGAAAGTCAGGAGTCACTTTTTTTCAATGCCTTTGTAACTTTGAACTGTCACTAAATGAACTGTTGTAAGTTGAGGACTACCTGTATTCAATTCCCCCTATCTCCAAAGAAAATCAGGCATTCCCTTCAAGGCTTCTCCTTAACAGGAGAAAAGAGTCTGGCATTCAGGTAACTTCTACAGCATCTTCCAAACCTCGCCCTTCACCCTTCCTAGGCTTGTACAACGTACTAGCACAGGCTACCAGGCAAAATGTCCCACAATGGGGCTTTCTTCAATGGATGGGGGGAAAAGCAATCAAGATATATACTTTGGCTGGTGGGACTAGAATGATAATCTTGGATTGGAGAAAAAAGAGATGGCAACAATGGCAAATAAAAGTGATGGTTACTAGGACTTCCGGTTTGCCATCGCGGCCACCGCAGCCACTGGAAGGCAAGCTCCATCTTCCGCGTTCGGTTTTGCTCTGCTGGGAGACCCTAGAAAGAATCGAGAGTCACCCTGTAGGGGCGACAAGAAAGGAGGGGAGCCCCGTTTGATTGCAGGAGGGCGGTAGCCCTTCTGCTCAATCCACGGCAGCCCTCCAAACTGGTGGACAAAAGACCAGCCAAAGAAATATGGCTTGTCACTAGGCTGCAGACAGCCAAAGTCAAACTTACCACCAGGCACTTCTAAAGCAGTGCGGATGAGACTGGGTGAGATCTGAACCTCTCTTCAATCCTAAGTATTTTCTTTTCCTGTAAAAGCTGCCCAAAGTATCTTCCCCCTGTGAGGAGAGAGGGAAGGGAACGTATATCCCACCCTCTAAGAATAGCGACAACTGACTATCCAGGGGAGTTAAAACACTGAAAGAATAACCTTAATCTAACTGGATTTATATGCTTCTAAAATTTGGGGACCAAAAGATTTCTTATCTTTACTGAAGACTTTGGTTTTTATTTACAAAAAGGAATTAAATTGGGAAAAGGATTATAAAAATTTTGGACTTAAAAAACCTTAAACGGCATTGGTGACATCTTGTGGCCAAATTTGATATTACAACTTGTTATTGTCTAAAGGAGACTTGGCTTGAAGCCCAGACTACAGACAAGACTTTTTCAACCTTGACAAATATCAGCTGTGAGAAGCTCAGCTGTGTTCTATACTCAGTTATAAAATTATTTTCATTCTCTGTCTTTAAAGCCCTCAATTTAACACACCATTAAGAGAATATGAATGAAGACTAGAAACAGATTCTTTTTATGTTGAAAGCAATACATGAAACCATTCTTTCAGCTTGTGATGAAATAAGATGCTACAGAAAAGAACAAGATGTCAGCCTAGATATATGAACCCAAATTTTGATTACAATTAAAGAATCAACTACGCAAAAGATAATAGAAAAAGTGGAACAATTAAATACTATGATAGAGGATTCAACTGACAAACAAATACAGTCAATGGAAAATCCAGAAAAGAGACTGATAACACTGAAAATGAAAAAGACTTTGTATATAAACCAGAAGAAACTTGAGGAGCAAGAAAAAGAACAGACCGAAGAGAAGACAAACATATCAGAACAACTATGGGGATCTGGAATAATAGAGAGATGATTCGCTAGCCCAGGGGTAGGCAACCCAAAACACTCAAAGAGCCACTTGGGCCCGTTTCCCACCAAAAACAAAACACCGGGAGCCGCAAAACCCTTTTGATATCTAAAATGAAGATAACACTGCATATATCCTTTTTTACCTTTATTATAGGTGTTTGTGCGCGCATGTGTGTGTGTGTGTATGTATGTATGTGTATACACACACACACACACACATTAAAAATAAAAGTAAAAATATGACTCTTGGGAATATCCATACTATTAAAACAATGATCACCAAGAGAATGCTTTAAGAGAATAAAATTACATACACACAAAGGTTAAAAAAAGGATATATGCAGTGTTATCTTCATTTTAGATGTCAAAAGGGTCTCTCTCTCTCTGTCTCTCTCCATCCCTCCCTCTCTATCTGCCCTTGGTCTGCCACTCCTCTTCCCACTCTCTCTCTCTCCCTCCCTCCCTCCCTCTCTCTTTCTCTCTCTCTCCCTCCCTCTCTCTTTCTCTCTCTCTCTTTCTTCCCCCCCTCCTATCTGCTGCTCACCTGGCAAGCTTCAAGCTGTTGTCCAACAAGCTCAGGGGTAAGCAACCTCATCTCTTTTATGACTCATGGACTTCAACTCCCAGAATTCCTGAGTCAGCCTAGCTGGGCTAGCTAGCTCTCTCCTGCCCATCCTGCTTCCTGCTTCCTGCAGAGACGCAGCAAAGGGAGGAGCTCCGCCCAGTAAGCTTTTCAGCTCCTCGGAGAACACTGTGAGTGCACTCTCTTTTACACACACACACACAGAGAGAGAGAGAGAGAGAGAGAGAGAGAGACACACACACACACACACACACACACACAGAGAGAGAGAGAGAGAGAGAGAGAGAGAGAGAGAGAGAAGCGCAATTGCCTCTCTCTGTCTCTGTCTCTCTCTGCAAAGGCAGAGGAGGCTGGGAACCACAGGGGAAGGCTCAAAGAGCCGCATGCGGCTCCGGAGCCGCAGGTTGCCGACCTGTGCGCTAGCCCTTCCAAAAAAATGGTGACTGGATGGTCTCTTTTATTTCAATATATATAACAACAGAGGGAGATCTATTTGATGACTTAAAACAGACATGTCAAACTCGCGACATCATGTGACATCACGTGCTGTATCGGAGCTTTTTTCCCATTGTTGGCAATGGGGTGGGCGTGGTTTGCTGGTGCTGCATCCGGCCCGTGGGACAGCAGTTTGACACTGACATGGAAGGTGAGCTGGCAAAGAAAGAAAACTAGAATAAAGCTGAAGAAAATTGGGGTTTTGATTTATTAGAGAAGATTACTAATTAAAATAGAATATACTCAAATAGACAAGGTATGTATTTTTAATACTAGATTTTGTTATGAATTGAGATAAAGAAAATTTTGGTCACTTAAAACTTGGAAGTATAAATATTAAAAGTTAAACTTGAATATTGATGGGAAATTAAAAATTGGGGAAAACAAATAAATAGGATATTGATTGTCTATAAAGATTGAATATAAAAGTAATTAAGATATATATAAGCTAAAAATGTTGATAAATGTA